CTTGATTTTCTGGCCGTAATTTTGAAGCAGAATTAGGGTTCGGAAAACCACTAACTGATTATCTACAGTTATCAACTTTTAGATTATCTACACAAAATCTACAGTTATCAACAGTTAGTAAACTGTAGATAATTTCTTTGAATGAAGAAAATCCGTTAAAAAAATTTGCAAAGTTTTGTAAACAAACAATTTTTGGAGACTTTTTTAATAAATTTATATATAGAATACACTTATTATACATTAAGAGAGCTCAAATGTCAACATTAGCTATTAAAAATCAACTTTTTGTTTATCGAATATTTGTAACGGTTATATGAAATTCAAATATTGTTCACATGTTTGTAAACAAAAAAAATTTGCGAAAATTTCTTAATTTTCAATTAAATCACCACACAAACGCTTTTAAAATACTGAATGAAGCCTAATGTCACTTTATTTGAACTGTTACATGCTGTTGCAGTCCTGATTTTAGCATTTCAACTCTTTTTTCAGTACATTAATAACGTTTTTTTCCACTTTGAAAAAATTATCTACAGTTACTTATCTACAAATACAAATTGTAGATAACTGTAGATAAGTGTTACTAACTGTTAATAACTGTAGATTTCCGAACCCTAAGCAGAATATTTCGCATCTTTGCTTACTAAACACATCTTTGATGCAGAATTTTTTACATTTTTTTCTAAACGCACGAAAGATGTAAAAAAATTAAAATGAATCCTTCAGCTCACTCAACTATCAACTAATGTTCATAATAAAAGATTGAGAAACAATCAAAATATTATTATAAAATAACTCGTCCAACAACATAAAAGAGCATAAAACAGAAGTTACAGGAGTATTTTTTTTATGACTGCTGCTTGATATTAAAAAATGCTTCATTTTAATGCTCCGAACTGTCTTTTGTCGACAAAAGTAATATTGCCAAAGGAAATTTCAAATATTGCTGTCATTTCAATCGTAAAAAAATTCTGTCTGGAAATATGGTTTAGAAAAAAAAATGAGAATAAGGCATCGCGATGCACACAGAGCAACGAATGGGAAAAGTGAGATAGACGAATGGCTAAGGGACATTATTCATTCAGAAAGGATGATCATCTGTTTGGTTTTGAAATGAGCACTAAACTCATCAGTGTTCAAGCTATAATCTCTTTATTTACTTAATAAATTGTATTTTCGTGAAATTGTTTCATTACCCCCTTTGTGGGATGTTCTAGTTCCGTACACATAACCATTTATTATCTTGTCATTAAAATCTTATGGTTTAAAATTATTTGCAAAACAACACGAACTTCCTCTTTTTTCAGCTAAAATCATTTCTTTATAAATATAAGCTATACATATAGAGAGTGAAATCAGAGACAATCACATTGAAGTCCATATGGAAGCGACGTGACTTTATGGTCTTGAAAAAATAAAATAAAATTCTATTGAAATATATCAAAATCCCGCTGACTCATGACGCGCTAACAAGTGAAATGGAAATTATTTTTTTTTGCTCAAATCAGCATGATCAATATCAGTGCCTCATAATAATGCCGAAGAAGATATTTACATTTGCTACTACAGACTGAATCAAATGACATATGTCACATTGATTTTTGATCCTTATGTTAATGGCATTGAAAATGAATTGAATTTATATTAAGAAACTATGGAAATGAGCATTTAATAAGGTGATATTATGATAAATTACAGTTTAGTCACTGTCAATTGGAATATGAATTATCAAGCACAATCCTCACTTTGCCAACAATAGCAATTATATTCATCATCTGACAAATAAATCCACTTAACAAAATTTTATTATTCACTGCTGTTTTGTGGGTCATCAAGGTGTTAAGGAACACAAAAATCCCAATTTTTATGACCAACCCCTTCTCTGTTTTGCTAGGGAGGACGAAAAAATTTTCGCACCTTATTTTACTGAACGCACTTTTGAGACAGAAAATTTCGCATCTTATTTTACTGAACGCACTTTTGAGACAGAAAATTTTGCATCTTATTTTACTGAACGCACTTTTGAGGCAAAAAATTTCGCTTCGGAAAAAGTTTTTTTACATTCCATAGTAGCAGGAGGACAACCGCAAAAGCTTTTCTTTCCATCCATCGCTCATCTCAAATGTGAGGATAAAAAGTTTTGAAAAATTCTGATAAATTTTTTATTACAAATTGTCGTGCGCTTTTGCTGCCAGAATGAAAGAACCAAAATGGAAATAAAGTTTTAATTTTACTTTCATCAGCACAAAATAAAAACTGTTTCATGCTCCATGACACACAATAGAAATGGCTTTTAGCACACTGAAGAACTATTGAAATGAAATGCGAGAAAAGGATTTTTATGTCAGCTAAGTTTGTGTTTGGGAGAATTTTGATCTGTAATTATTTTTACACTAATGGAATAAGATTTTAAAGTGTAAGAAGTTTTTTTTTTGAAAAAGGTTAACTGTTGATGGAGTTGATTTTGTTGGTTGATGAATTTTTATAGCAAAGTTCGTTAAATTTAAAATCTCAACGGTCGAAATTTGAAATTTTATAGCAAATCTCATTTTAGGAATTTAACCGACAAAATTTGAATTTTTAACGCAAAACTCGTTAGGTTTAAAACTTAAACGGCAAAATTTTGAATTTTTATAGGAAAGTTTGATTATTGAATAAAGAAATAATTATTATTCAAATTTTCATGGTCCGTTAAATTTTTAAACATTTATAAATCATTTTAATTTTCTAAACCCTTGAAAGCTCATTTCATTTTTAAATCACACATAAAATCATAGTATTCCCCATTAGTAAGGTCATTGAAGTCTATTCTACCTACAGAGCTTAATGAATATTTCAAAAAGGTAAATGTAAGCATGAAAAAAAAAAGAAAAATCTTCAGCCTCATCCGTATTCCGCTTCCTGTCAATTTCTGACGGCACAAAAGAGAGAAAAATGTGCCTTTTTGCCTTTTCCTTGATAACCTTAAAGCTAAAAAGTCATTTCCGCTGTTTACCCGCCCCTGTCATACTTAGCATAGCATTATTCACAATAACAATAAAAGAAATATTGAACAGCTTTGTACAGCACAAAAAAATTATGTGAAACAATTTCATGTAAAATTTGCTGACTTCTTGATTTATATTTTCCTCATAACAATAATAATAAGTAATATAATCGTATAAAAAAGAATTGAGAAATCACAAAGGAAAGTCATTGAACACCAAAAGCAAAATATAAGCAAATTCACATTCTTCCGAAGCATGATACGGTAATCGATTTAGTCTTTATATGATGGAAAATTACAAAGTTTTTCATTTCGTTCTGTGTTTTTTCGAGCTTTCTCGGGGATGATGATGAAGTGGGATTGATTTTATGAGGAACGAGCTAGAGAGTGAAATTCATAAATTTATATTTAACATCCAACAATATCAAATAAATCTTTTGTTGAAGAATTTTTGAAGGAAATTTGCACGAATTTTTGTTGAAATTCAATGTTTTGACTCTTTAACAGACTTGTGGAATTCAAAAATCTAAGAATATTATTAAATAATTCAAATTTTGAACTTTAAAGGAAAGAAGGCTTTAATTTTTGAATTTTAACCGAAAATAGAAATTTTAATTTTGAACTTTAACAGAAAAAGAATTCAAATTTTGAACTTTAATGGAAAGAAGGCTGTAATTTTTGAATTTTAACCGAATATAGAAATTTAAATTTTGAACTTTGACAGAAAAAGAATTCAAATTTTGAACTTTATCCGAAAGAAAGCTTCAATTTTTGAATTTTAACCGAAAATAGAAATTTAAATTTTGAACTTTAACAGAAAAAGAATTCAAATTTTGAACTTTATCGGAAAGAAAGCTTTATTTTTTGAATTTTAACCAAAAATAGAAATTTAAATTTTGAACTTTAACAGAAAAAGAATTCAAATTTTGAACTTTAACAGAAAAAGAATTCAAATTTTGAACTTTAACGGAAAGAAGGCTTTAAATTTTGAATTTTAACCGAAAATAGAAATTTAAATTTTGAACTTTAACAGTAAAAGAATTCAAATTTTGAACTTTAACGAAAGAAACAGTTCAAGTTTTTGAACTTTAACGGAAATTAATCCAAAATTTTAACAATAATGCTAGATTATGGTGAAATAAGTTTAAGAATGTTTAAAATTAAAAACAAAATATTGAAATTGGACAACTTAACTTCAGAACCCCCACCAACCCCCCTTCCAAAAAATCCCCATTCAATTTGTTATCCCAGAATGAGAAAATAAAAGAATATTTATCTTAACTTGTAATAGGGAAAAGAATCATGTGCACGAAATTGCAGAACACTATTACATTTTATGATCTTTCTTATTTCATCTCTATTAAGAAAAACGAGAAAAGGAAAAAAAACTTTCCATTCTTCAAAAGAAAATAAACTAAAATAAAATGAAAAGCGAGAAAAAGGAGAGAAAACTTTATTTTTCCAATTTCATCACTGATTTTACTTGCAACATTTTTTTGAAATGTTTTTTGATGAAGTTGAATGAACCGCATGGATTTTTTTTTAAAAAACACACTAGAAGTGTCGAATATCGTGCAATTGCTAATTTAAGTTCGATGTAGGTAAAGATAAAAAATAAAAGTAAAATTACATCTACTATGTATGCTTCAGCATAAAGGTATGTCGAAATAGAAACTCTCGTTTTGGAATTTTTATTTTTATATTTTTTTTTTTCAGATTGAATCATCCGATTGATGCTTAGTCAGTTACGCGCACATATGGATGACTAATTTAATGCAGTTTAGCAACATTTATATATTTCAATTTCATTCACAACTATTTTTCTTTAATGTCAAAATGATGCATTGGGAGAAAATCTCAATTTAATGATGAATAATTTTAAATTCGTTCAAAAAAATAACGGCGAAAATATTTTCAAAAAATTGTGTGTCTTGATTAAAGCTTTTTATCAAAGACACAAAAGCTTTCCGATTTGAATTTTTAAAAGTCGTTTAAAAAAGCTCTAGAAACTCACCTTTTATTAACGTGATCCCGAACTTGTTTGATAAAAGCCGATTTTGTAAAATTGCTAAATTTGCTTCAACATTTATATCATTTATATTTGTATAATTAGTCTGTTGGTTTTGGTTACTTGAATCTATCTGTACATCATTGTTATTCTCCTCCTGAAAGTTTTATAAAATTAATCTAGTGGAATTTTCATTTATTTTAAAGATCCAGATGACTTTAATGGCATTTCCAATTAGTAAGTATGTTGCATGGATGATTTTCAGTATTTCCTGAAAGAAACTTCTATACTTACCTTAATATCAGCTGCTGAAAACTCAGAGAAGAATGTCTCTAACTCGAACGTATTCTCAGTCAATTGACGAAGTAATTCATCGGAATCATTAACATTAAGTGACTCTAAATTTGCTAAATCACAGGTTTCTAGATCCTGATTCTGGTTCTGTGTGTTCTGATGTGATTGAGACTGAGATTGAGGTTGAGTCTGTTGTGGTGTATTGTCAGACATGTCCTGGGAAATTATTTTTAAAGCAAATTTTGCAAAATGGAATTTAATTAATTAATTCTCGTCAAGCAAGGCAAAATTTGATTTTTTGGCGCAATTTTGCAGATATTTTTTGGATGTTTTTTTGATTTTTTGAAAAACCTTTAAGTTTTAAGTTTTGAAAATCGTTAAAATTTGAATTTTTTGAAACTTTTATAATTTAAATCTCTAGAAACCGCTATAATTTGAATTTCAATAAACCGTTAAAATTTGAATTTTCAAAAACCGTTAAAAAATAAATTTCTGCAAAAATGCGCTTCTTCCACCACAATTGCTGATACTTTTAAGAACAGATAAATTTAATAAAAATGACCTGTAGATTCTGATATTCCCCTGCTAGTCGACCGTCATTTGATGAGCACCAAAGGAGTTCGTCGTCGATATAAGGCATTGTCGGCAGGCCTGAGCCTCGAAGCGTTGTGAGAGCCAGTTTTGTAAAATAATTTAAATCACACAATGTAAAAGTTTTTATTAACAATGTTCAGTTTCTTTTGTTAACTTCTCTTTTCTAGTTTTTTTTTGTATAAAAAAAATTTGGCAGACTTTTAGAATTTTTTAAAATTTTGTTTTTGTTTTTTTTTCGATAAAAATGTTCAGTCTTTGTTGATAATAATTTATAGAATTTGAAGGTGTAAAAAATGTAACTAGTTAAAGGCAGTGATTGATATAAAAATAATTAATTTCTTTTTCTCTTTGAGCTAGATGTCAAAGCATCTCGTTTAAAAGGCACTTTTCTTCCTTTTTGTACTTTCTTTTAAGACTTTTATTTAATATATTTTTAATTGAAGCACTTTTCGTTGTTTCTTAGTTCTTATCTGTAAGTAAAGAAGAATAAAAAGAAATAAATTTAGCTAAATGGCACAAATTGAATATTTAGAAATAAATGAGCTTGCATAACGGTTTTAGAAATTTCAAAAAACGAGCTTTTCGAACTAAAGTTGCCGCGCTGAGCTTTTTCGAAATTGAAATGAACAGTGAACCAAAACAAAGTGAAAATAGTGAAAAATGTCAGGAAAAAGACGATGAATTAGACATTACAAGCGAACATTTCAATCCTTTAAAGGCTTTATACTCAAACGAGATGAAGTTACCTGTCAAAAATGTTAAAAGACTTGATAATCTAGCAGTTTTCCTCTCGCGACTCAAAAATGCCGAAAATAAAATTGATTCAGAGGTAAATTAACGAAAATAAGCTTGTACTTTAATTAATAAAGACTTCTTATAGCTCACAAAGCAGCCAACAACAAGTAAGAAGGCAGTACCAAAGACTGAGACAGATGAGGATGAGAAATATCACATAACAAAAGCTGGACGAAAGTTTTTAAAGGAACAAGGTAAGATCCAGAAAGATCACATAAAAAAACTTAATTAATAATTATTTCTTCCAGCTCCTGTTCATCGCGGTAAAAAGGCAAAGTTTAAAAGAGATTTAATTGTCAGGATGGAGAATTCAAAAGGTCCATTAGCACTGCTACATAAATTTGTGTCAAACAAGAGAAAAGTCAAAGTTTATGTCCGAAAGGAGCATGGAATAAGAGGCTACATAATAGGACAGCTAGCATTCTTCGATAAACACTACAATTTAGCACTAATCGACTGCACAGAAACATGGAAACGACGTAAATTCAAGTTCAGTGACTCAAACATTTCATTTCCAAATCCACCACAAGACTGTTCCAAGTTCCTCGCCTTGATGGGCATTGAAGTTCCTCAAATCAAAGTTAAATCGTTAAATAGGAAGTATGTTGAATGTACGAGGAAGTTGAATCAAATCATGATACGTGGAGAGGATGTAATACTAATTAGTGAATTTACCGAAGATCAAAAAGTCAGTTGAGACTTGAAATATTTTTAAATCCACGGATTTATTTTTAATCCGAGCTTTATAAGCTTCGCGAGCTTTTTTGTCAGAGTTTCTGAATAAGTCAAGTTCATTAACTGCTCAAGATCTGATTTATTTATAAAATTGTATTAAAATAAATAAAAATAAGAAATACAGACAGTTAGAATGTTAATTAATTAATTTAAGGCTTCCAGAATTACCATATAAAGTCAAGTGAGGCTAATTAAGGAATGAAATATTCTAGCATTTAATTCATTTGATTGATCTCAATTGTAAAGTAGTCTTCTGGAATTAATAATAATTACTTAACAATCCAGTCTTTCAGACAACAAATCGCTCGCAATTAATGCACGTAATTATTTATTTTATGGAATGAAAAGAAAATGAAAAGTGAATTTTGATGCCATAATTTTCCCCCCCAAACGAGCGACTGCAACAAGTTGAATGAAACTTCTTCTATTTTTCCATATCGCTTTCCACTTTTTATCTTTTTATGCTTTACTGACTGAAAGATGTATCAAGCATGCATTGTCTTAAGCACATGGATGTAGACGCTGAGCGGCTAATGATAGTGAAAATTTTTCTCACATGGAAATCGGAAAAATGCAGTAACAAGTTATGAGTTCGTTGACTCAACAAGTTCATTGCAATGTTGCTTGTAAATGTATACTCAAGTTTTACGATTGAGAGGCTGGTTTTATTTTACGCGAAATGTAATTAATGACTAGATATGGATTTTAGATATTTTTTGGAAGTTCAATTAAGTTGATTTTGTATTTTAACGGATTTTCAATTTTTGAAATTTAACGGACTTTTAATGTTTGAATTCAGTTGTTAAACGTGAAGTTAGATGCAATTTGATTAAGAATTTTATTTAAATCAATTTTTCTCTTTCATTAATGACTTTCTATCCCAAGTATTTACACTTACTTGCGTAGATCACCGAGATATTGCTTTATGCTTAAGAAACCTTCATTCAAATTTTAAATGTCAAATTTTTGCACTTTACATTCACTTTTCTAATGTTTCACTGAACTATTTAGATTTTAAATTGAAGTTTTCTAGCAATTCTTTTGATTCCGAGAATCTTAAAAGATTCTTTTCCTAATCCGTGAGAAAATACAAATTTTTGAAATCAAATTTTTACTTGAATGATGATAAATTTACTTTTTATGAAACAACAAAGACTACTGAACACATTTTAACTGTTTTTGATTTTGTTTGATAAGTGAAAATATTTATTTAAATTCAAAATGTCAGTTAAATTGTAAAAACTGTTAAATTTTGATTTCTTTAAAAACACTCTGAAGTTGGCTACAATTTGGTGTAAAATTGTCGTTATTGCTGAAGCTGGCTTTCATTTATTTGAAAAATAACTGACAAATTCCATTAAAAATGAGTTCACAGTCATCTTTAATCGAGAATCGCCAAAAGAAACTTGCAAAAGAACATGCCACATCATGATTAATTCATTCTAGAACGATAATAACTCAACATTACTACATCACAATTCATTTAAACTTAACAAAACAATCAATTAAATCCACAGGTAAGCCCCCATTAAGAATAAATCAAACCACACACAAATTAAAGTCCATTCTAGATCACCCAAATCGCATGACTCAACAAACAATTTTTCGTCACATTCACACACGTGGTGTCAACAAGCATTCATTTGATCGATGTGGAAATAACCAATATATATATTTTACAATCTGCTGATTTCGCGCGAAATTTATTGACAAAATTGACACCACAACGTGCCAAATCCTTCACATCTAAATCAGTGCAAAAATTATCAAATTTCATTGATTTTTGGTAGCGCATGAATGTCATGATTAATTGGTAAAGGGGAAAGTAAAGTAAAAGGATCAATCGTTCATGTTACTAGCTCATTAATTTTAATTTGAATTGAATATGAAATGATGGAGAAGAATTCTTAGATTTTCACTTCTTCTACTGTGTACTCATAGATTCACGACATGGGATTCGCTATAAAAACAATCTCCGTTGGATATTTGATACTTCTGGTAGACGAAAAAAAAAATATTACAAGTTTAAATAATAATAAACACAAACTTTCTCCTACTACTATTACTTCTTCTTCTTCTTGGATTGTTTGCTAGCTGTGTTATACTTGTTCTCTTTCTTCTTTATGTTCACATTTGTTGCTTTGTTTTCGCAATATGTGCAATACTAAGTGGGAAAATTTCTAAAATTATGTCACATGTTTGTTGTTGTTGAATCAATCAAGTTATTATCAAATGATTAATTGCTGAGTTATTAAGTTTGCCTTATTGGTGCTTGATTGGTCGTGAAAAAGCATGAAAAATGATTGATTTGTTCTTACTTGACTTTTGTTTGCAAGAAAAAGTTGAAACTTTAGTTTTTGAATGATTTTGCGATATTTTAATTTTTCCACTTCAAATTTTAAATTTCACTTTTTCAGCTCAATTTAGTTTTAAATCTTAATTTTAGTGCTAAACGTGATAGAAAAAAGTGGCAAGGACCTGATTACCTACATAAATATTTTTAATTATGAAGATAAAACTTAAAATTTTGCAAAATTCAAGGAAAATTCTTCATTTTCAAACGCAAATATTAAAAAAAAAAACAAAGAACAAAGGAATTTGGAAAAAAGAGCCTTTAAGATAACGGTCCTTTGTGCTTCTATGTTTAAAACGAATCAAATTAATTCTAACTAGTAGAGAATGGCAAGAAACTTCAGGAAATGAAGCGAATTAGCATGTAATTTGTCATATTTTGCTAATGACATTTTCATGACTTGTTTGCATTAATTTCGATGTGTTTTGGTTGTTATGAATAAAATTATGGAGATTTGGAATGTAAAAGTCAGAGGTTGTGGCACGAAGAAGTAACGGAATTCCATCCTCAAATTTATTTTGATCATCAAAACTATTTATTCTTTTTATTCGATCTCAATTAACATCAATTTCCAATCAAAAATCAAAAGCTTCCATCAATTTCATGCAAATCATTCACGAAATGCCAAATTTTCTGCTCATTTCTCACTCTCGATGTCTCTCGTCTTAATATCAACATTCATTCAAGTCAATTTATGGGAATATTTTTAAAGCACAAAATGAATAAAGAACATGCAAAAAAATTGATTTGCAATAAAAATTGAAGAAGAAAATGTAAAAAACTTCACTTTCACTTTGCCCGCCAATTTCGTTTTCATTATCAAATAAACGATGCAGAGAGCATTAAAAATTATTTCTTTAATTGAGAAATCGAAAAAAAAGCAAAAAAAATTATTTTTGTGCTGTTATTGTGTATAAATTTTTATTTCATTGCTTTACATTTTTATTATTTTTATTGTTATTGCTCTTTATTTTTGTATGTGAAGTTCAAGCTCGTTTTGCAATTGATGGAATGTTTCTGATGCGATTAATTTGAATTTTATTGAAATTTGAGTTTTTAAGACGTGAAAAAAATTGTTAAAATTGTAACGGTTTTTTTTAAAATTCAAAATTTTCTTTTAAAAAATTCAAATTTTTTAAAACTGTTGGTTTTTTTTGTAGCCTCAAACCAAGTGCAAATGAGAGAATAAATGACGAAAGAAGACATAAAGAAATTTTTTCAAAGGTCGTTTGCAGCACAATCAATTATATTTCATTTTCTGATGACTCATAATGCACAACATGTACAGTTCATCGCTATGAGATTACGTCTTTTTTGAGATGCGAAAAGAATTGTAAAAGCGTAAATTAAAATTTATTTATCTCCACAAATTAAAATTTTGGAATTGAGAAATGCTGCATTTGGTAATGAACTATATAGCTACAGCTACAAGGAGAAAGAAAGATCAACAGAATGAAATTCAATACGGATGATGATGCTGAGATCATTCATATGGGAATTATTTATGTGACGAATCTTTACGTTAATAGTTTGCGCAATAAAGAGTTCAATAAACAGTTTTACGAGATTTTTTTTTTCTGCATCTCATGTGCTGTACTGTGCTGTGTGTTGATGACTTTTATCGACTTAAATGAATCGAAAGTGATTTTCTTCTGGTTAATTGCGAGTTGATTGAAAATCTCATTAATTTAATGATTTTAGGATTGCAAGTTGCTGCGGAATTTACTGCAGATTACTTCCTCGAGAAATGAGGATAGTTTTGCTCTATTTGGGTTAGGGGTCGTTCACTTATGACGTCATTAACGGTCATTTTTCAAAAAAGAACAATGGATTTCCTGGAATTTCTATTGTTCTTTTCTTGCTGACCCCCCCCCCCCCCTCCCTGAACGTCATAAGTGAACGGCCCCTTATAGAAATGTGTTGGGATTCTTTAGAAATACATCAAGTTTGGTGCTTCGAATTTTTGGCGGGAATGTTCAAAACATGTTTTTTGTTTCTATTTAGACATTATTAAGATCTATTGCGATCAATGCTGGTCAGGCAAACTTAAAAGACACCAAAATTGACTAAAATCTAACAATTTTAAATAGATTTGAAGAACTTTGGGACAAAAATTGGCTAAACACCAACAAAAAGAACTAGTAAACATCCAGAAAACGAAACATTCATCCAAAAACAACCATATTAGTCAACATACTCTCAGAAACTCAACGAAAACATCGGTCATCAATTAAAACCAAGCAGAATCTCATTAAAAAATCTTAACAACTAGCTTTCAAATCAATCCATCAAAAGATTGTTTCCATCAGCTTTCCATATAGACTAACAACCGTAATAATTTGTTTAATAATTCACCTTCTTATTCTTTCCTCGCTCGATAATTTAAATTAATTGAAAAACGCGCAAAAAGTCAATAATTCCGAAAAAAAATAAGTGAAAGAAGTAGATCTTCAAATAAGAAGCAGATCTTCAAATCGAAAGTGAAAAAAAAAAATAACAAATCGGGGTGGATTAACAAAGAAGAACAAAAAGCTTCATTTTTTGAAATTTCAAGCGGATAAAGATAATTAAAAGCAATTATATTGATTAATTGCATTAGGAAGAAGCAAGCCCGATCAGCACACATTTAAGAGTTGTTTGAACGGCTGCAAAACGTAATGCATCCCGAAAAGCACACGGCAATAAATTGACTATTTAAAATAACCTGTAAGAGGTTGCAGCTTGGTTATTGTTTATTATTTTTACTTTATTCATTCTAATTAAGCCAGAGCAGCATTATGGCTGTATTACATTGTAATTATTGGGAAACTTTATTCCTTATATCGAGGACAGGAT